TGATCCTGTATCAGGAATGTTTGTGGAGATTTGATGTATTTCAACAGATATTCCGGGATGTTTTAAAGTCGATGCCTCTATTGAACTGTGTCATCAGTCTATTTCGCGGGAGAAACAAGAACTGAAAACGTTCCAACTTAACGTGATATTTTGCAAACTGTCAGAGACCAAAGAGCTGTGAAAGGGGCCGAGCCGAGAAGAAAAGCCCCCCGCCAAAAAATTTCATTAGTAGATTAGTTCTTCGTCAGCTAGATGAGTATATAAAATGGGAGATCTTGCAAACGGGCAATCATCTTTTGGTCAGTTTTAGCGCTTCTCTACAATGTTTGAGCCAGGGGAAGAAGGGACAAACACGAAAATCAGTTTTTCTAAAAGGAAAAACGTATTTTAAAGCTCATTAATTTTTATAGAATTGAGTGTTTTTTAGTTCGTGGTCACTATGTTGTTTATTTTTTGAAGTCACCACGTTAGTCTTGTGATTCTAGAGCCCGGCTGCCCACACAGAGAGTCCTATCACTTCAAGTGGATTATCTTAGTTTATCGAGAGTGCTTAAGCTCCGAGCAATGCCCATCAATGGTCATGTTTGGGTTCGTCTACTAGTCTTGGTCTGGATCTCCCACAAAGATCCTGTTTAGGTTTTTTTGTTCTCTAAACTTTAGCTTTAAGAACTTTGTGGCACGCTTCAGAAAGTCGCTTGAAAGTGTTTGGGTTATTGGACAGCTTTTTAAACTTGCGGGCTCACAGTGCGCGAAAGTTCAATCTCAGTGAACTGCAAGTTTTCTTATTTCAGCCCTGCAACTCAAGTGTAGATAAAAAGTACAACAGATCAAGGTCGTGTCCCCTTTCTTTAATAGTAGAAACCACACTGCTACAGCTTATACAACACACACAAGCAACGGCGAGAAAATTTAACTCCTAACATACAAAGTACGATCACTTGGCACCCTTGGAAGCTTCGGTAACAGTGATCTGTCCCATGTGACGTCGGTTGGAGAAGTTGTTATTACGCGTGCTCATGTAACAGTACTCCCCGGGCTTCGTGATGCGGAAGCATGGCGGATTGCAGGAGGCTGGGGCGTTGTTCAATTGATTCTGAAGTGGTTTCTTCTTATCTGTGTAACATCCTTTGTTTAGGTGAAGGTTCAAATCTTCAGTATCGAATTTATCAACATGGTCAACCACTTCGAGAGGCAAGCTGGAGCAAGCTGCTGGTTTGAGGGAGCTGCATCCTTCCTTTACCCAACACACGTTGGTGCGATCCGTACCTGAAATTAAAGCGAAGTCAATTTAAAGCCGTGTGTTATCATACATTTGTTTTCACTTTTCCTTTTTACTGAGGGTACCGAACGTTTCCACCATTTACAAAATGAGAGCGACGGTCAAAGAAAAGGTGGTTGAAAGTGAGCTAATTTTTCTTCCTTTCTTGGGGATGCATCTTCAAATGTAAAATGCAACAGGGATCAAAATTAAATTGCGTGTAAAGAATCCAAAACTATTCAGCATCTCAGTGGCAATCAGGTGTCCACCACGACGTCATGTGACACAAAAATAACGTCAGATATTGCAACAGGTCCGCCACCTTAGATTTCAAACATACTACAAAACCTCAAAAGTTGGTTTGAAAAATAGAAGAACTGCTAGAAATGTAGATATTTTGGACTAACTCTTTACAGATACTAGAATATCAATAAAACAAAAAAAAATTAACACCAAACTTCTGTAAAACATGCCTTTGAAAGATGGCTGCCATAGATACTGTAAGTCAATAATCTGACAATATTTGACTGTTATTTCTCAAATACTTTTCAAGTAAGATAAGTTTGATATCAGCCCGGGTATCGACAGCTTGCTTGGCGGATTATGGTCAGTGAGAGGAGACAGTTGATGAATATCCCGTAACCGTTGTTCGGGTTTAATCGGGCCTGAATATTATGTGAGTAAGAGTAAAAACAAAGTACCTTGTTATAGGAAATTAACGCTCGTGTTAATTAACGTATTTGAAATTAACGCGACTTAAATGAACGCGAATTGAAGGTAAATTTGCTTCTCAATAAAGGAAATTAACGCGAGAGAGGGGGCAAAATTTCAAAATGAGGGAAATTAACGCGTCTGCTACACCAAAAAAAAAAGAACAGAATTTGTTGAGAACAGGAACTAATTTATTTTAACACTGTAAAGCTGACAGCGAACACGAACAAGATTCAGTTGAAGTACAGTAGAAGATTTACTAATGTGAAAGATTGATGTGAAATGTAAAGTGCGCGAATAAAATTTATTGCTTGGCTGTGTCAAGGATGTCTGGAATGTGTCACAGATTTGGGGCGTAAAATAATGGTAATTAAAGTCGCGGAAATTAACGCGCAACTTAATTAACAGCGCGGAAATTAACATTAACATAAATTAACGCGCTTAAATTAACGCTAATTTTTGAAATTCGCGTTAATTTCATGAAGCGTTAGTTTCCTATAATAAGGTATTCAAATATTCTTACGTGCTGTTCCTTCTCCGTCGTTGTTCTGATTGTTGTTGGAGCCTAAAACGAAAATCACATTAAAACTGTAAGCGTTTGATCAATCAGCTGGTCTCCAGTTAAAGAATTGTCCGCCCTTACGATCTTGGAAATGGTGCTAAAGTGAAATAGAGAGAAACAAGCATATTTTAGGTCCTTATAGAGCTCCACGGGGGGACGTTGTGAGAGTGGGGGCCTGAAGGAGGGAATCGTTCAATTGTCAGCTATCCATGGTGGAGGGAGGGTGCTCAAAAAGCTTTTGTGTTGATCAGTAAGAGTTGTCATTGCAGTTATCAACGGTTTGAAATAAAAACAAGTCACAGGGGTTAATTCTACTTCAAGTTGACCCTTTAGCCTCGTTTGCATGCCTAAAAAAACCCCGAATATTTGCCCGCAGACTAGTATATTATTTTCTCACCAGACCAGACAAAGCACACCACATCATCTGTTGTAACTGTAATGCGTTCAGGAGTGAAGCGATACTCCATGGCTGGATAAGCCTGCACAATGTTTCCTCTCTTTCCCATTCCTCCGATGTAGTATATGTTGGAATGCTGGAATTTTAGAGGCAGAGTACTTCGTGGTTTGAGAAGGATCACGTGACTTCTGTCCTGGAATGTGCGACCGAGCTGTGCTGTGTTCAAGGCGAGTTGTAGATCTGTTGTACCATCAACTGCTTTGGTTTTCGGGTCATTCGTAACTCTGCGAAAATAAAGATAGCAATAGGTTTCTAAGCGAAGTAAAAGATGGAGAGCGATGGACCCTGCAATGCACTCAAATTTTCATAACAGTCCGAAACTCTAGCTCTTAATACAAGGACCGCGTATTAAAGCAAACAGTTCGCCTTTTTTTCCTTCGTGCTCCATCCTCCCCAGCATGCATCTCTCCTTCGGTGAAGGCGCCTCGATATCATGTTTTAGTAACTTCCGTTCTAGGTATTACATCCTTCTCTTTCTCTACACAGAACAAGATAAACAGAAGAGTGCCAGTGTTCAATCCTTTACAAATCTAATGCAAGGGCGGAGCCTAAGTGTCCAGTTCTGGAGACTTCCATTCTAGATATTACAGACCCTGTAGAAGTTGTAAGAGGTAACGTATGTAATTGGGCAAATGCTTTCACGAATAGTTCCCGTGATGCATTTCAATCTAGTAAGCGGGATAGTTTTGGTGGCCAGTTTACTCGGAAAAGTAGTTAAATCGAGTAGAACTGATTTCGAAAAACTTCAGCTATGGCAAACTTGTACCTTTAATATTCTTTTTTTCAACCTCACGCATTTTACTGAATAGAGCGTGTCACTTACTCATTATTGTTGCTGGCGTTAAATTCTCGCGGAACGTCATCAGTGGTGATGTTGTATCTACAATAAAGATGTAACTATATTAAGTCTAGCAAGACACAAATATCCAGAACAATATACGCTTTTTAATTGGCCTACTGAAACCCAATCTGATTATTTTTTTGTCTTCCCTATATGGTGAAATTTAGACCCACGGGCCATGCTAGATTCTAGAATATTCCCTGGACGCTTGGGGGCCGCACTATTGCTTGCCTTACTTCATCAGAAAAGGATGCCGAGCCGACGAAAATTAAAGGGGCTAGGTCACGCAATTTTAGGTAATTTCAGCAATGACCAAATGGTCATAGAATCAACTAAACTATCACAAAAACGGCTCAAAACTATAGAAGATCTCAAACAAAACACAGGAAAGCCAAGAAGGGACATGGATGGACAAAACTGGAGTGGATTAAAATGCACTGCATCTGGGTAAATTTGAAAAATGTCGGCCCACCTTTTTTCAAATTTATATCAGTTTATATCAAAATGTCATTTACACAGCTGGAAAGTCATTCTCAGTTGTTATGGGACCGTGATTTTGCAAATGAGAGACTTTTGCTCTGCCAATTTGACAAAATTACCTAAAATAGCGTGACCTAGCCCCTTTAAGATGACAGTAAGTCTCCCGTACGGTGACAAAACTATTCAAGGTAAAATGTCCCAGAAAATGGTAATGGTCCTTTCATAGTGAATTTGGCCGGTATGAAGGAGCCGAGTTTCGGTGGTTTTATCAAGGCTGAGCTTTTTAGGGATTCCCGACTAGTTCACGTGTATTGTTTTTATATGAAGCAAACCTTACAGAACTAAAATAAAAAGATCTGTACTCTATGGTGGCGTGTGAGAAGAATTCAAATTTTGATGAGGATGACAAATTAAACGAGTAACCGACTTAAAGATGATTTCCAGTCCGTACTGCGCAGTCTCAGCACCGTAATGTTTATAAACATTATAAATTTCACTCGATGGAATGCGAATCGATGTTATTCCCTACGAACCACATACCTTATCTTTGAGGCCTTTCAAATTCTTTTGCTAACAACTTCACTGATGTTTACAGCTGCGAAGTTGTTTCATCAAGTGATATGAGAAAGAACGAATCATAAAGCTTCGACACTTCGCATTATAATGGCTGTTGTTTTGAAACTTTGAATTTACCTCATGTAAGTAGCTGCGAAATGTTTACATTTGGTGGTGTCTTACATGAAACAAAACAAAAAACGCAAACAAATTCTCGAGAGTGCGCAATACGGACTGGAAATCGTCTTTAATACTTATCATTCTCACCTCAGTCGTAACACGCAACGCTGAGTGGTGTTGGTTGGGAAACATGGAACCTTCCACTTGTACGACGAAAACTTTCCCTCCATGTTCATTCCGTTGTGGTTAACGACTGTGGATGGGGCGTAGATCACATCTGGTTTTTTGTGAAGAAGAACATACTGTGGCGGCTCCTTACCAGATCCTTGTGAGATCTTCTCTGCGTCATATGGTATACCTCTTGCTATCTTCATTTCTCCTACGTTGTGGCACGTGCTCAAGACACCACCAGTTTTCTCCAGGTAGTTAGTAATGAATTTTGTCCAGGTCCCATTAGCAGCCTTACACGACTCGGCGGTGATGTATTTAGCAACACATTCCTCGGCGCGAATATTTGCGTTGTTTAGTGGACAATCTGCGTTACCAGCTAGCTTGGTTGGCATGATACACAGGTCTAAGAAACGAATTAAATTCGAGGCAAAAATTAAAAACGTTGTTTGCTTTATCGCTGTTATTCTAGCTGAAACTAATATCGACGTCATCTGTCAAAGTCAATCACGACTGCGTTAAATTGTGTAATGAACCAATCAGAAAGCAGGATAAATGGTACAACGATGGTAAGCGTCGGTACTGAAAGTGGACCATTCCGAATACGACTTCGCTAAAGACATGTTTTCTGATTGGCTGCTGGAAACAGCATTTTCAATGCATACGGGATAATGACCATGCGTAAGGTAAAGACTGCTGGATATGGGCCAAGGTTTTTTTTTTCTGCGAGTTTGCTGTAGCGCGCGCTCTTAGTAATAAAATGAACAATGATAGGGCAGATGGCCATTGCTATAGCTTTGCCTGGATTTAACGATCATGGTCGTTCGGTGACCCCCACTTTTCTTTCCAGAAACAGATTTTATTTACAATTATCTCCACATTTTCCAAAAATGAACAAAAAATCAATGTAGGAAGTTAAACTTCAAGATTTCTGTCACGGGACATCAAATCCTGCCATCTTGCGGCTGCAAGGCGCGTGAAACTATGGTCACTAAATGCGAACTTGTTCTTTACGGAACCTCACCAGTTGACTAAATTCACTTAATAGGTCCACTTAAACAATATTTGGCAGGGACATTTCACTTCAAACATCTAATTGCAATATTTTTGGGCTTACAGACACACTGGCCTTATTCGCTAACGAAGCCCGATTTTTTCAGGGTGTTCTTCCGGGCATGTTGTCTCCAAAACGAAGTCGGTAACCCCCCATTTCTTTCTTTCTTTTTTTTTACATTTCTTACAGTGGTAAAAAGTCTCAGAAAAAATCAATGTTGGAAAATTTTCGCGCGAACGTCCTTAAGACAAACTAATTAATTCAAACTATAAGAAGTCAAAGCCAATAGTTTTAAAACCACTTCCCTTAATATTCTATTCTTCTTTTAACTGTACTGGGAAAAGAGATATACAGTGCTTTGTGTTTTTTACTTCAAAGGTTCTTTGCTTGAAACTAGCAAAAGATCATCACCTACGCTTTTATGTTTTCGTAGGACCACTTTCTCTAAACAGCTGTATATTCACCTTCATTGAGATGACTTCAATAGTCATCCAACGGTTTTGAAACGAAATGCACTAGGCCCGTTCAAAACTGGGTTAATGATAACAACCAATGGTAATGACATGGTAAAAAGTTCAAAAAACTCACATTTGTGCCCATAATGAGGACTGTTGACGTATTTCTTCATCAACGCCTCGGTCTTTTTATCGCTGACCATGATAGCAATGTCCTTCCACGGGGTGGGGCCCCATTAGGGATAGTAATCTCGTTCCTCGGGGACTTCCAATCCCCTCCTTGTTCCTGCAGCGTTTTGTCGCGTGTAAATAGGCAAATCACCTTTGAGTTGTTGGTTAGCGGTAAACAAACCTGTCACATGAGCAAAACGCGTTAGATTCGGGCTTTAGGTGGCTACTTTCTTGGATTAATACTAACAATCATTTCCAGTAAACGCTACAATAATGCCATCAAACAAATTTCCAGTTATAAGAGAACAAGACGCAATCATTTTCTTGACCGCTACAAGTTACCATAGCCTGTTAAACATATAACCAGTTTAAGACACTATTACTTTTAGCGTTGAGTGTCTATAACTCAAAAAATAAGCCAGGTGATCCCCATTATTTTATTTTTCACAAAGCCTTAAAAACAAACGTGGTAGCAGACTCAGAGCCACCTTAAATTTTAAAAAAATATTATATGCTTCTGACACACCCATATCTTTTTTAAACTTGACAAAAAGTTAAATTTTGAAATGGGGGTGACTGGCGCATGGACTCGTTTTTGAGTTATAAACTCATAAATTTAAAATTTAGTGCTAGCTCGGGATATTTTAGCATGCCTGCTCCGAGAAAATCGCCCGAAAGCAATCGCATGTTTTATGAATTCATGATATACAGAAATGTACAATAGCATGGTGATTCGAGGCAACTCGGTACATGCAAAAATTATAATGAAGACAACATGGGTGAAAATCAGCGCAACATTTTCCTGAGTTGACGCTGAAAATTAGCGATCTTAAAATGTTTCAATTAATTTGAAACTACGGGATAACGTTAAATATGGATTAAACTTGTTGCGGGCCAAGTCTAAAAAGAATTCATTTAGTTTTTTTTTTTTTTTTTAATTCCCGTCCAATTTAATCATTTCAGGAGCAATTTTTGATAAAAGCAAAATAACACCCCATCGTCACCAGTTGATTTTCAAGCCAATGTTTCTGAAAGTCAAACAGTTGCGATTTCTCTGAGATTTTCACTCCAGGTAATTACATGTTATAAGATTCATTTCAGATCAGAATACCATTTAGTTAAGTCTTGTGGACATAGTTTGCAATAACATTTAAAACAGCTTCGTTTTTGTTGTGTTTTGACACCTTGAAACTTCACTCGCAATTTTCTCGAAAACGCTTTCACAGATTTTTTTTAAATTTTGCCATCGTTAAGACAAGTACGAGATTCCGACATCGTATTTCCCAAATTATCCCTGATGACAAGTTATTCGGTCTTATGTAAAATGGGGTATGGCGTCAGTTCGTTGCTATGGTAACTCAGATCCTGGTGAAACGTACCCCATGTGAAAATTTCATCTTTCCCTAGCACACCAGTAACGTTTGATTTTCTTTCTGTTGGATTGATAATGGTGGTGCTCTTGTCGCTCAAAGTTGAACGGTATAGTTACTTAAAAATCCGATCGAGCCACCTTAAGGCAAAATTTTGAAGAAAGGAGACTTGTTATATTTCCTTAATTGTCTTCCAGCTGCTTCTCGAGCTCGTCGCGTACGCGTCGCTCTTTATTTCGTTTCAGTGGCACCATCTTGGATTTGTTGCTGGAATCGTCTCAGCAATCATGCGCCTGCGCAGCAACAATTCTCGTCTCATGTATGCCAAGACCAACGTCCATGACTTATATATAAGAGCAATTCAAAGAAGACCAGCTCAAAACCATTGACGTGCCTTATCTTAGTAGCGAAAAGGGAAGTTGTGAAATTTATAGAGAAAGTTTTCGTCTTATATAAGCTGCCTCTTACATTTTAATATAAACCCTTCATAGTACCCTCACCTTTGTTTCTTTCTCTGCGGAAATACGCCTGATAGAAATTAGCTGGCTCGTNAATAACGAATCAATGACCCGCAAACCAGTCAACGGACTGACTGAATGAGTGAACGAACGGGCGAACAAAGAACGAGCGAACGAGCGAAGAACGAACAAAGAATTGAACGAACGAGCCAGCTAATGGATTATCAAAAGAACGAATTAACAAACAAATGAACGAAAAAATGAATGAACAAATACATGTATGAATTACAGATTAAATGTGATAAGAGCCAATCCAAAAATTAAGTAAAAAAGAAAACATTCTGTTATTACTGGCTATTTACCATTGGTAGCTGTCTGTACTCTGGAATAGAGCCTGCTCCTGGGTCCGTGTCTGCATTGTCTCCAACATTGTATCCACATTTTCCATTGTTCTAAAACAAGTAAAGAATGTTGTACTTACCATCTAACTGATGTCGATAAACATTTTAGAATTTGAATTTGGAATGGTTAGAATGGTTGTTAGCAAATCTCTAGTGTAGCAGACCAAGTAGCAGTCCCCCTGTAGGGGTGGTGATGGTAAATGTGAGTCGAAAAGGCGAGACCAGCGGTTTTTTTTGCGAGCCCGAGACATTTTGACTTCTTCGCGATCGATTGCGAGACCGAGACTTCAAATTGTTTGAAATGCGAGCTCGAGATTTTCAGTTTCTAAGACGTTCAGACGTTGTTTATAGAAAGAAAAAGCAACCAAATCGCCGTACTTCAAGACATTCTTAGCCTTGCCAAAAAAACAGACTGCGAGACAGCTTTGTGATAAAGTCAAGACTGCGAAACGCAGATAACCGCTAAAAGAACGAGACTGGATCATAGAAGACCCGTGAAATTCGACGAAAATTTTGCGAGATCCATGGTTTTGAAGAAGCATTCGCCTCCTCTCCCTGTGATTGCGTACGGTGTGACTAAAGCAAAGTATAATTATTTCTTTTTGCTTAATTTTTTCAGGCCCGTAATCGGCCCATGGGCATTACGGGAGGCGGAATTAGCCAATCAGAGCGCCAGTTATATCGGCAACATACTAAGCCATATAATAAAATTGCACAGTACCTGCGAATTAAACAGTCTATTTGGGTTTTGGACATTAACGTCAGCACCATTTAAGCGGTTATTAGATCCCGGTGGAAAATGTAAGTACATATCCGACATGCACGGTCCGATAAGTGCAGCCAGGAGGCAGCCCCAAACGAAAATGCTCCTCATGTCCTGTTTCATGCAAAAGAACCAAATATGAGCTAATTGACACACGACTCAACTCTTAGCTTAATAGCTGAAAGCCCTTGCCGTTGACAGATAAGGATACACAATTTCCCGTTGGTTTCAACCATGTGTGTCCTTCTCCAACTTCAAAATACTTTCCACTGGAAGTTCAATTAACTTATTTTTTAACATAATAGACGTATTATAATAAATAAGATTTTCTTTGACCAATTAAAGGTAGCAAGTTTACAATACCCTTTTCCAAAGCTTGCACTCGAACGTTCACTGCAAAATACTATCACAACTATGTATTGATTAATAAGCACTTTCTTTTGAAATTCATGTAACTTGTGTAAGCAGCATACCTTTGGGAAAGCTCTGGTATAATTCTTATTTTGAAAAAATCGAAAGCTTAACTACATTAACTATATAGATGGCGGTTTGTTCAGCACTAATCGGGAATACAGTGATCTTACCTTAGATCTCAAACTTTTCCGGCACTCGTCTTCTTCTGACAAAAGTAAAGCCCGAAATGAACCGACTAAATGCACACTGTGATTTAAAATCACAATTTGCGTTAGAGATGGGCTGTCATTGCGGTATTTTATCCTTATTGGTGGTCTTTGGCACTTCGACTTTTGTGATTGGTTGCATTGAAACTGTTTTCCCTTTAGCACGCGGCCGAAATCTCCTCCACATCCCCGGCAACGGCGAGTGCTTTCACAAGAACTTGAAATTGAACTTGAATTTGAAATTGATTACAATGAAATTGGTACTTCTGATTTATGTCTAGACCAATTTAATATCATTCTTTATTTTTTTTGACGCTGTTTAGTGATTATCTGCCTCATATTTCACCAGAATGTCCCGATTGTCGAGGAAGATTGAACTGCTATTACTGACTAATTAAAGTTTACAGGCAATATTGCTTCATGAAAGAAAATCACATTTCCTCGCAATTAAAATTAAACGAAGCATAACTTTATATTTTTACCGTTTCTGAGAAAGAACGACGGGCCATTACTTTCATTTTTCATTATATAATGTTAAATTGTAAAACACTTATGAAAACTTTAAAAAACAGCTAAACGCTTGAAATAACAACCATATCCACCCTTGCGTTTACCCCAGTAGAAAGTTTAGTGGTATGACTGTAAAATTACTGACGTTTGCATGTGAAATCAGTGCAAGACCTTGAAATTCGAAAGTAGAATATCCCTGCAGCTCTCCATTAAACGTGAAACCCTTCAGTGAACTCGAACCATTGTAAACGAAATTCATATACATAGGGTCAAGTTAATTTTTATAGTTTATTGGATTTCCTTTTTGTCGACGCTATAAGATAGTGTTTATTTACCTTTTCTTTTATGATACGTGCTTAATGTGTGACACTTGGCGGAAATAAATTTCTCTTGAGAGGTAGATTATTAGGTCGAGTTTTGCAACATAAGAGTTATTTTTCTCAATAGCGCAATGCCAGAGCAAAACCTTGAATTTTACGACCTCGTTAATATTAAATGTCTCCACAACCTCCTCCTCAAAAACAACTTCCTGCACCTAAGTAACATTATATTTTATCATTCCTTGGACAAATATTTTGTCAATACAAACTCTTTTTATCCTAAAAATTAATTAAATGTTCGCTTTTAATTGGATTGATCTCATGATACGCGCATGTATAGTATGCACATAATCGTATTGAGGGTACGATATCGGTCTTGTCAGTCTGTTTTGATGGTCAGTTTTCGTTCCCATATACTCAGTTGATATTGCTTAAGTTTGACTGAAACAACGGCGATTACTTTCACTAGAACTTCAAACTTCCTCCTTAAAAGCAACTTCCTGCAGTATAAACGACACTAAATTAACTTTCTATTTTATAAGTCATTGGTAAATATTTTGTCAGTACAAACTCTTTTTATCCTAAAAATTAATTAAATGTTCGCTTTTAATTGGATTGATTTGATTTTTATTTTCTGTATTTTATCATTTTTATTTGTAGTTATAGTTACAAGCGAAGAGTTACAATGATTGTAGTATTGCAGTTAAAAAAAGGAAAAAAAATACACCTAAATGCAAAGGACGGAAACACACAAAAAAGAAAAGAAAAGAAGCAGAGGCCTATTATCTAAATAGGTATCTGTATACACTATCACAAAAAAAAGCTAAATCAGCTGAAACAGGGTAGAAATTTGTTCCATTTTTTATAATGTTTTACTAATTTCCTTGCATATCGCTGGCGTGACTGAAATTTGAATTGTCCAATCAGGATTCAGCATGCAGGAAAAATTGTACTGTCTTGACGTCAATGTATGTTAAAAGAAAAGGCATTGAAGTCGAACAACTTTTCTCACTGGAGATTGGCATTTAATGTTCACGAAAAGGAATTTATAATTCCAAAAACCCGTATCAGTTTGTAAGAAGAGAAAGATATAAAACATTTTGTGCCTCCAAGCTTTTAATTTGGCGCCAAAAATGGGTCACCGGGGTCCGGTAACTCACTCATGATCATTGCTCGTTGAGTGTTGCCAGGTAGGGTAATAGTTGTGATTTTTCGAAAAAAATGTTGTTCTTCATCAAATTGAACCCAGAAATCTCCAGTTAAGTATAAAAAGAGGTCAATAAAAGTAACTTAAGCATTGTCCTAATGTTTGTTAGCAGCAAAGAAAAAGACTACCATCATGTTATATCGGTAGGACAGTGCGGTTTTGACTGCCGCTTATACTGCGGATTCAGTCGCCGTATGCAAGGTTATTGCTAGTAGCTGCACTTTTCTGTTCAATCTGGTAAACTGCTTTAACCTGGACTATTGAGACCTTTAGAGACGGATGTATGATATTTAATTTACATTTATAAAGATGACATTTTTAAGATGGTTTAGAATATGAAAGTCTTCTACGACATTGAATACTCCAAAGATAACATTTTCTAGTGTCAAAGATGTTGAGGTTATCCTTTGTTCAATAATCAAGGAAAATAGCAACCGACAGAAAGATTTTGTAATATTACAATGAAAGAGTAAGTGGCTTATGTTTGACAAAAGGCGCAAAGTGGACACTGAATCATTTTAAATCTAAATAACGTATCATTTGTTAAAACAATTTTATTTCACAATTTGTACTGAAATTCCCTAATTTTTGTATTATGTGTGACGGTAAATGGAAGAGAGTAGATTTCTTTCCATTCCAGAGAAAGTTCTACATAATTAGCTTTATTTTCTTTTGAGCGAAGGCACCCGGTTTGCCGATTTTGCGGTTAAATTCATTGTAAAACATTTTTGATGTAACTTTCAAAACATTTACCTTAGTGCTTTCTATGTTAATTTGAAACGTGTCTTTCGAGGGAAGACAAATATGTTGCTGACTTTGTTTGATGATAAGCTTCCATTCGTTAGGAATAGAATTAACGATTTCCATTAATTTAAAAAAGTGGACAGGAGATAGTCACGCTTGTCATAATTTTTCACTTTCGAGAAACCTACCATTATCAGATATTAAATTTCCTATTTTAACGATTCCAAGTACAGCCATATGTTTTATATAACACGGCTTGTTCTCAATAAGGATAAACTTATTGTTCCATATACTGTTTGGCAAACTTTACAACATCGTCCGGTATAAGAAACTACGTTTGTCGTATTCATATCAGACCACGCATCGAGACACTCCTTGTAGAAGTCTGGTAGATAAATAAGAGGTTTACGGGTATCACAATTACAGCATAAAATAAATTTTCCGCCAGTGTTACCTGACTGAGAACGTTTCGAGGACGTTTTAACACTGAAGGGTTTCTATAACCTTTCAATAAATCGTTTCAATGCAATGACTCTGTGTGACAAAATCATAGATTGGATCTCGAGCATCTTTAGGCCACCGTCCTTTATATCATTGATAATAGCAGTGCGTTTTATCTTGTCATTTCCTTTCCAGATAAAATCATTGAGCAGTTTGTTCACACCCTCAATAAGATCCTCTGAGACTGAGATTAGTGAGGCCTTATACGTAAATCTGGGGGTAGCAAACGTTTCAATGATTTGAACTCTGCTGAGTAGTGTAAGACCTCGCCACCTCCACATGTTAAGAGCTTTCTTTTTAATAGACTCAAGAATAGAATTAAAGGTTGAATTCTTTCTTGTTGGCTTATGATAATCAAATTAAATTCGTAATATTTTAATCGATTTTCACGTTTTTGATAAAGTTCTTCTTGTACTAAGTTTTGCGGTCCAACTGCAAATAGCTCAGTTTTGTCGTCATTTACACGGAGACCGGGAAACCTTGAAAAGAATTTCAGAATTACAAATAGGTGTAAATAAGAAAGCCTATCTCTTAAAAAAAAAAAAAAAAAAAAACATGTCAGATCATCAGCAAAATTAAAAGCGTTAATTTTACTTCCTCGTCATTGATTACTAAGCCGTGGATGTTGCGATCTTGTTTCATTTAACACGCAAGTAGTTCCAAAGATAGAATGAAGAGCAGATCGCTCGAAGTAAACGATTGACAGAGAAAAAAATTGATGGTGAAATCATTGTTTAAAACGCAACTTGATAGATTTGTATAAAAGGTCCGACGCCGTTGCATAAAGTACCTTCCGAAATTAAACTTTTGCAAAACTTTGATGAGGAAAGTTCGGTTAAGAGAATCGGAAGCCTAGCTTCTCAAAATCAATTGCTACCAGAATTCCGGGTCTGTTGTTTCTCTTTGCACATTCTAAAGTATCATCGATCGTTCTTATCGCGTCAATAGACGCATTTTGGCTGTGATGAACAAGGAAGGGTAAAGTTGGTTCCAACCTCTTAGCCATTGTTTTGACTGCATGCAATTTTGACGTCCATGTCTATTATCGAGATTAGACGCCATTATTTCAGAAGTCTTTTGTCTTTATATATCTTTCTTTTCAAGTAGCGTAATTATTGCTTGTTTTTGGGAGGTGGATAATTCAAAATTGCGGTGCGCGGAATTTAGACAATCAGCGAGACATTTTCCAATAAGAAGCCAGAATGCAAGGTAAAACTCAACCGTAAATTCGTCCTTTCCAGGTGTTTTGTTTTTCTAGAATGTTTTGAAGGCCACGGAAAATTCACTCATAGTAAGTTGTTTGTCTAATGAATTACGTTGTTCATCTGTTAATTCATTGGCATGCGTTTAGATCAGCAGCAGAATGCTTGTTGTTGATTTTGGCTAAGCTTCAGGGATTGGCTTATTTTAACGTGCTTTATCAGAGATTATAATATAGATAGGACCCTGCGCGCACTCTGATTGCTCAAAAACCCGTGTTTTATCAGAGTATAAAAGAGGAAAAGCGTGTTTTATTGTTTCGCGCGTGTAAAATCTATATCATAAAGCAAATGAAGAAGCCTAAGCCGTGTATTACACTGTGCTAAAACACTCCGAACATTTGAGATCACTCGAGAAATGTAGAAAACACTGCGTTTCCCTCGTGTGCTCAAATGCCCGTCGTGTTTTATCGCAGTGTAATACACGGCTTAGGCTTCTTTATTTATTAAATAAAACCGTNCCCCCCCCCCCCTTTGCTTTCCTTGTTTGGAAAATAACTGTTCTGGTTTGAAAATTCAACGAATGGTAATGGTTCTCTATCAAGTAGCACTTCCTTAATTTGGAGTGGAAAACCAAAAATCCATAACTCGCTTAAATGGCTTCGGATCAAGCTGAGATGCGAGATGACAACAGAAAAGACAACAAGGCATTGTTGAGGTATAAAGTAAGATCACAGTATTCCCGACTAGTACTAAACGGTTAAGTCAATTTTATTGCCAAAATATCACAATTTATGCCATAATGTCGATTACCGTTTTTTCCCATACAAAACCTTTAAAAATTCAAACCCATGGCGAGAGTCACGTTTCGCGTATTCAAATTCGGTCTTTATGTAATAGTATATGTCGGCCGCATATGTCACAATTCGCTGAACGTTCGCATAAAAATAAAAAAAAAAAAACAAAGGAGATTTATTCACCCCACCCGGGAAATAAATGATTTTACGTTGCTTGTTAGTGCCAGTCTTCCGGCAATTGGTTTGGGGGTCATCCGGGTCTTAAAGAATCCAGCATTGAAGCAGATGTGGCCAGGTTACTGTCCTCTTTTCTAAACCTCTAGTTCCCCACGCAGTTCGCAATTTTCCACCCACCCACCCTATCGATAGACAGGAGGGATTTCAAATATTTGTGATTGCGGGTACTCCCCCACCTTTGCTGGGAATGGTTTTGATTGTTTAATGTTTTTCGGAGTAGAAAGTTAATTGTTATAAAAATAAGCGGCCACCTCGGTGGCCAAAAATTGGCATATTATGGTTTGTCATTTCCTCCCAGCTAACCTCGCGCAGCCATTGCATTGTGTAGTAAATGAATCTCAAGTTTGTGCAGTAACAGAGCATAAAGGTAAAAAAATAATAACTCCTCGCATTGTGAGCTTGGGCCGGCTGTGGTGTGAACAGCAAACCTCAGTTTAGTAAAGCTCTGTTATAATTCTTGAGTTTGCAAACATCGGAAGGTTAACTACATAAAATTTAACTAATAGATGGCGGTCTGTTCAGTACTAATCGGGAATACAGTCTCGACCTCTTCTGACAAACGTGCAGCTCGAAATGAACCGACTTAATGCAGACTGTGATTTAAAATCGCAATCTGCGTGAGATATGGGCTGTCATTGCGGTATTTTATTCTTCTTGGTGGTCTTTGACACTTCGACATTGATCATTAGTTGCATTTTTATTTAGCACGCTCCGCACAAGTAAATGGCGAGTGCTTCTTTGAAGCCATTTGACGAGCCGGGTGATTGATTACATTGAAATGGTCACTTGTGATTTACATCTTCACTAAAAAAAATTCTATCTTTTTTGACGCCGATTAGCGATTATCTGCCTCATATTTTTCCAGAATGTCCCGATTGAAGTGCTGGTCACTTTGCACTCTGCTGAAATCAAATTTCTTAGTATTGGAATTTCTAATTTCTTAATTTTTGGTTCAAAACTAGAAAATAAATACAAATTTCGAGTGTCTACGTATTGTTTTGTTAGTTATTCATCCACCTCATTAACAACAGGAGTGACTTCGTCCATAAAAATCTAATTGTTTATCCTTTACAGGTAGAGCAGCAGCATATTTCTTATAATACTGTACCTGTTAAAGATAACTGCTAAGTAAGCTGATCAGAACCCAGAACTAAAAGGGGTATCGATTTTCAATTTTTATACAGCGACGAACTGAGAATCAAATTTAAGGCGGCTCCGGGGGGAAAGCGACCACGAGTGGAAGATCATCCCCCATTTGAAAATAGGGGCGACCCCGAGTGGGGAACCAAGTTTCTTTTCCATTATAAGCTTGGCCATATCTGACTATCAACTTCTAATGAATTAAGTAAATTGTTTCCCCGAGCCAATAAAGATAATTGTTGTATTGCTGTTGGTAAGTTGTCGAGAAAAGTAGGGGCATCTATATACTGAGCATGTGTGGAACAGTGAGCTTGGGCAGCTGTCAAGGAACTGGGATAACTTTATATAAATGCTCGGAAATTCTATTAGAAAAAACATTTCCCCCATATAAACAGACCCTCGCTCTTCTCTTGCGATGGCAAGGGAATCATGAAGCAATTAAAAACAATAGTTCACTATTGAAATAATTCACTCAATTTGTACAAATCACTTTACTTTTTTATCTTCAACAAACCGTTACAAAATGTTTCTAGCACCTTGGCTGGTGTGAGTGCACCATTAAAGACGACAATTACGTCTTGTTCCTGTGATTACAGTCTCCCAAAAACATGGACAATGTAAAAAAATGGCTGATAATTTAATGGAAATCTAATCTAAGCGTGCATAGAGATGGTCCATTCTTTAGCAATATTGACCGCTGGCTTTTTGATGGTCATCGTGTTTGTGGAAGAGTCGTGTGTGAACTGGAGATGCCTGCTCTCACCACCTACAAGAGATAAAATAAAAAAAAAAACTAACTTTTTATTGTTCCCTTTCCAGGTAATTATTACTTGAGCGGTTTTCAATTGTGTGTCATAAGTAATCAGACAATTACTCTTTAGGTTTTGCGTTTGGGTTTGGTTTGACGACACTCATTGAAAACCGCTCTATTGAGATAGTTACAGCCATTACTTCGTCTACTTCAGTTGAAGAGACTAGTCATTCAGTGAGCAAGCATTGCGCGGAAGAGAAGTTAAGTTGTGCTTCGAGTTGCTCAGTTAAATTTTCAAGACCTACAAAGTGTACGTTCCCCTGAAGAGTGGTTTCTGGGAGCGACAGGCGAAAGTGTTATAGTGAGCGTTATTTGTCTTTGGTTGAGGCGAGCACGACAAGGGAGGTTAGCGTATCTTGTTCGCGAAGCGAGAGTCAAAGATGCGACACACTTGCCAGACAGCTGACTGTTTGGCAGACGTGAGGGGAAAACAACAACAACCTCCCCCACCCCCCTCCCCCCGTCTGAATAGTATTCTGCACAACTGATCAATTGCTTTCCTCTATGGACCTCTCAAAACCAACAGGAAGTAGGAAAGATACGAAAATGGACAGCTCAATCTTCGTTGGTAAAACGCAACCAAAGAGACCAAATTCTCCCAAAGGAAAATCCTACCGAATGGATGAAAAGAGAAGGAGAATTTAGATGTCGATCTGGGCAGTAAAAAGGTGGCTGAATATGTCCATACCATCAGCTGTAAGGAAGATTCCTCTGGGGGCATTGCTTATTCCCAGAATAACAATACGCTCTATCCACGATGCAGTGGTGAACTGGGTGTTCGGTTTCTCTCGTCTGCAATAAGAAAACACAGAAGACAATTAACAGTGCTTCAAAAATTAACCCTCCATTCATTTATTTAATAAGTGAGATAACAAACAAATCTGAGCGTTCTTTAAAACAACGTGTGAAAAATGTCCTAATGAAGCGGGCTCAATGGAGAGCGAGGGTTCACGACAATTGAAGAGAGTTCGTCCTCTCGCTTCCTCGTCTTGCCGTTAATTTCCAAGCACGCTTGTCGAACCTCGGCTAATCCTCATCGAATTGCAACAACTCAAATTTTCAAAAAAAAACAACAAAACAAAACAAAACAAAACAAAAAATAAAAACAAACAAAAAAACAAAAAAAACTCAACGAGGGTTTTTTTTTCGATTGACAGACAGATGAATGAGCCAGCCCTTGAGTTGTGGACCCAGACTTTTCATAATGAAAGGGGATGACAAACACATGCAATCGAAAATCAAACATTCGAAAAGGAACTGTGATCTGTGGGAAACCAGCAACACATGCACAGAGAAAAAACAAAAAACAATTAAGCTACTAACAACAGGTTCCACATGGATGACAAAATCCCGGAATCTTCAGTCTGACGCTGAAGAGGGATGGGTTTCGATGCATTCCTACAGGGTGGAACGGAAAATACCCTAGTTTAAAAGCACGCTGGGGCAAGATCAAGAACTTGGGACAAAAATTCCCGGGCAATCCAGGGGAGTCAAAATTTCCTACTTCAGTCTCTGATGGGAAAATAAAACAAACCAAGGATGTTGGGAATGCAGAAAAGACTCGTCTGCAAATTAACCTAAATTTAAATTGAAGAGAGACAAGAGAACGAAACTCAGTTTGACAAAGCATCTGCTAACTGGTCACGAGTTCCCAGTCCTATTTGGATGAGTGATAATTCGGCGGTCTGGGTCGGTCCACCTGAAGGTCTCTCCCAACGATGATTACGCCTAACTGACTTAAACGAATTTCAATTTTAAATTATAGGAGTCTTACTTTGCTACCAGTCGCCCACCACGGAATGAAAACTTCATGTAGATATAAGCGCCATTCTTGTAGTCAAAGGTGTATCCATCGTCCACATAAAGGTCTCCTTCAGCTTCAGCCTGAACAGACATGAGAAACGGAAGTCAAATTATTACGAGGTCATTCCACCAGTTCCCGGAGTACGACAGGATGCTTTTTTTTCGCGGCTTTCTCACGCTTCCAAATGCCTTTCAACAAAACGCGCTGAGGAACATCCCCTGCAATTTAGGGAGTCCCACTATTAGACTAACGACTGATAATGCGTATGGCGACCCTTTTAATTTTATAGATAATTTGTAGATAATTAGTTCGAGGGGCAGGGATGGCGCAGTGGTGAGAGAGCTCGCCTCCCACCAGTGTGACCTGGGTTCAATTTCGGCCTGGTGCCATACGTGGGTTGAGTTTGTTGTTGGTTTTATCCTTGCTCCGAGGGTTTTTCTCCGGGTTCTCCAGTTTTCCTTCCTCCACAAAAACCAACATCTCCAAATTCCAATTAGACCAGGATAGAGGACCTGCATAAACACCGGCTAAGGTTGATGTGGATTGTAATTTGTTATTATTATTATTATTATTAGTTTATTTCTTTTATTTACTTTTACCTTGTAATATACCGATATTGACGTTGAAACCCAGGAGGGAGCCATTATGTAAACACTGTTGAAATAGGTTTT